GCATTTTTCGTAAAAGCAACTTACTGTTCTTAAAGTCATCCTTCTTTTGTAGTTATGTAGCTTATTGACGACTGTCCGAAGTTTTAATGCTGTATTTTTGTTAAATGCGCCATAGACTACGGGAAAGTAAGATAGTACATGTTTACCGGAGCAGAACTGGTTTTTTCCATTTCGAAATAATCGCCTTTAGGAGCAATTTTAGCTAGCAGCGAAATGTTCTGAAGTGCAAAAATTGCAGCTACTCTCCCGACATATAACTTTTCTATTCTTGCTATTTCCCCGAAGTTGTAGCTAATATTTTATACTTATGCACCTATAACCGAAAAAACTGAGAAAATATGAATTCGTGTTGTTCTACAATAAGCTCCCATCTCCTAATCTTCGTGATTCTGGAATTTCCTTTTCTTCTGGGAGTTTTTGTTCAAAGCGGTAGGGCAAATCTACTAATATTTTCACTATTCAAGTTCAAAATCGTAGATGATCTAATGAAAATTACAATCCAAACTACAGTATCTGTTGATATTTAAGGTATTCATTAGTGCAATCTTCTGTCCGACTTCTGCAGAAACTCCATCACTTCTTTTTCCCTTAACGAGAGGTGTCGAAATCTAACGCGGGAATCGTACCTCTCACTTTGACCTAGGAGAGTAGAGCAGACTAAAACATCAGCTAAGGTAGAACTATCGTGAATATAACATACAAAGTTCTGCAGTTACACATTTACTGCTGAAAGAGGGATACAAGAGGGCCGATAGAATCATGGCCCATAGGGTCGCTCTTGAAGGTGTGTGGGCTCTAGAGGTGTAAGATGACGAAATCGGCTGGTTCACAGCGCACGGTAACCACCAACTTCATAGAAAAGCACAAGTGAAATTTTTAATTCCGAAAGAAGGTGCTTATATGTTTCTTCTCATGTGTGTCGAGTTCCAGGCCCTGCCGTTCGCAAATTTCACGTAAGCTCTCTAAGTTTCCAGGTTACTTGTGGAGGTTTTATACCACATGAAGTGGTCAAAGCTGCTAACATTTACCGTTAGCTCATAACACTGCATAGAACGCAAACAAGTTTGACTTGCTGTTTTTTTCATCACGTGGAATTTTAACCAACTAAAAAA